TGCTCCAAAATGGAAGAATCAAAGACGAACTTCTAAATCTCTCAACCGAGAAGAATCCTACTATTTTTTGGAAGAAAATTCAAAGTTTCATTCAAACTAAGAGTGATCAAACACCTGAAATTAACAGTTCAGAATTTTATACCTATTTCAATGAACTTCTAAACCCTATAAGTGAGGAAACTGACCCTGAATTCAGTGAACTCGTGACGAGGACAATAAATAATACAGATACCTGTACCGATTTAGATATTTCTGGCATATGCAAGCTAAATAACATTATTTCAGACGAGGAAATAGTTTGTGCTATAAACAATATGAAAAATGGAAAAAGTAGTGGTGAGGACTCAATCCCTATTGAATTTTATAAATGTTGTCTCAATGAGTTACTTCCCCTTATTAATAAGCTGTTTAACAAAATATTTGTTAGTGGTAACTTCCCTGACGGCTGGTCTTCCTCGATCATTGTACCCCTTTATAAAAAAAGGAGATTGTACATTTCCCAGTAATTATAGAGGCATTTCGCTTTCAGATGCAATAAGTAAGTGGTTTACATCTATTCTTAACAGCCGTCTTACAAAATGGTCTGAGGAAAACCAGTTGCTAGTGGAAGAGCAAGCTTGGTTCAGAAATGGTTACTCAACCATTGATAATGCATTTATTCTTAATTCTCTTATACAAAAATATCTAAATAAGGGTAAAGGTGGTGTATTTTATTGCGCATTCGTTGATTTTAGACGCGCATTTGATGGTTTAAATAGATTGAAATTAATGTATGTTCTGATAAGAAATAATGTAAACGGCGCAATGCTACAAATGTTAAAAGGTATTTATAAGAAAGTACACTGCAAAGTTCGTTGGAATAGTTGCCTCTCAGAATCATTTACCTGTAGCTCTGGTGTGAAGCAGGGGTGTATATTAAGTCCCTGGTTATTTGGCCTCTTCATTAATGAACTGGCTACTTCCCATAAGTCTGATTGTGTCTCTGGCATTTTTGTTGATAATACGATAGAAGATATCTTTTCGCTTCTATTTGCTGACGATTTAGCCCTAGTTGCAGACAGCATTGGGGGTTTACAAAATCGGTTAAATATACTGAAACAATATTGTAAACAGTGGAATATGGATGTTAACCTTGACAAATCGAAAGTCGTAGTATTTAAGAATGGGGGTTCTCTCTCTCGGAGGGAAAGATGGTATTACATGGGTTCAAAGTTAGAGACCGTGTCACATTATAGGTATTTAGGTATTGAATTTTCATGTCATTTAAAGTGGAATTTTAATTGTTCATATTTATCCCAACAGGCCACGAAAGCTTTAAATGTTATAAAGAAATGCTTATCTAATACAGGAACACGAAATATTAAAGTTGCATTCCAACTATTCGACTCAATGGTAGGTCCCATATTATATTATGGTTCCGAGATCTGGGGGCTCGAAATGAACGTAGAGATTGAAAGTGTACAAACTAAATTTTGCAAATGGCTTCTATACACTGGACAAAAAACCACTAACAACATGATCAGAGGTGAATGTGGGAGAGCTTTATATTAACTATATTTGTAGACCTATTAAATATTTTTTGAAAACCCAGGAAATGGGAAATCACAGATTACCAAAACTATGTTATAATATGTTATATAACCAAAGTCAAATAAGTAGAAACAATTGGTGTACGTCTGTTAAAAATATACTATTAACGCATGGTTTTGGCGATGTATGGTTTTCACAAGGAGTGGGTAACATAAAACAATTCATGTGCATATTCAAACAACGACTTAAAGACAACAGTCTTCAATCTTGGCAATCAGATATTACTACTTCTACCAAATGTCAGTTCTATTCCATTATAAAAAATGAATTTGTATGTGAAAAATATTTAAACTCAAACTTATCTCAATCCTTAATTTTTCATCTGGCTAATTTTAGATGTTCAAAGCATAAGTTAAATGTAGAACTTGGAAGACATCATAACATTCCATTTCATGCTAGATTATGTAATATTTGCAATTATAAACAGGTAGAAACAGAATACCATTTCATACTTGTCTGTCCAGTGCTACAGGATCTCAGAGTTAACTTCCTGCCAAAATATTGTCACTCAAACCCAAACGATTTCAAACTTAAATCTCTATTCACAAGCAAATCTATAGATGTCCAAAAAAACTTAGCTCTGTACATAAAAAACGGATTAGATATTAGACAAGAAATACTCTCATGAATTTTATCCAATCGACTTATTGTATATACCTGCCTTAATTAAAAGTTTGAACTATTATTTTGTATAATTAATTAATATGTGAAATCTAGATTATTATTTTGTATATAATATATTTGAAATTAAAATTATTATCTGTATTTGTTTAATATACTATATTTAATATTTAAATTATTTTTGTATATTCTATATTTGAAATTTATTTTATTATATGCATTTTCTTTATTAGAAAATTCAAATCTATTTTTGTTAACGTTTGTACCATGACGAAAGTCGTATAGTACTTGAATAAACTTTATTATTACTATTATTATTATAATGAACTCCAGTCCTAACATCAAAAGTATTTATCCCCCATCAATGTGGTTTTCATCATTAGAATGTACTCGATTTTCTGTCTTTACCGGTATGTGACATAAATTTACTTTCCAAATGAGATAGCAGCTAAGATATTAACAACACTTTATTTACATTCAATAACTGGAGATCTACACTAATCCAAGAAGTATACCCAAGACTCTTAGAATATTAGAACGATCCGATCTCCTCCCCAGCTAAAGAATGAATGAATGAATGAATACCCCAAACCCTAACTACACTCCTATTTATCTCTCCCCCCAGGTGGCCAACTTATGAAATATTTCTTTTGTCAAAAGATCCCTTGCTGTTCCTTAACCCTTATTGCCATGCCTGACCGATTCCTTTACTATACCCCTATAGTTTCTTAATCTCTCAGTGTCTCCTTCCCTGCCGACATGGAATAGGTCTCCTTTGTATACTACCATCTGTTTCTAATTACTTACATAAACACCACACTGATGTTAATTTAAAAGTGTTAAAGATTACAGATTAAAGGCTACCACCCGTGATTACCCCTATTTGACTATTACATGTTGAAGGCTACCACCCGTGATTACCCCTATTTGACTATTACATGTTGAAGGCTACCACCCGTGATTACTCCTATTTGACTATTACATGTTGAAGGCTACCACCCGTGATTACTCCTATTTGACTATTACATGTTGAAGGCTACCACCCGTGATTACTCCTATTTGACTATTACATGTTGAAGGCTACCACCCGTGATTACCCCTATTTAAATAATACATAACCCGTGATTACTCCTATTTGACTATTACATGTTGAAGGATACTACCCGTGATTACTCCTATTTGACTATTACATGTTGAAGGCTACCACCCGTGATTACTCCTATTTGACTATTACATGTTGAAGGCTACCACCCGTGATTACTCCTATTTGACTATTACATGTTGAAGGCTACCACCCGTGATTACTCCTATTTGACTATTACATGTTGAAGGCTACCACCCGTGATTACTCCTATTTGACTATTACATGTTGAAGGCTACCCCCCCGTGATTACCCATATTTGACTATTACATGTTGAAGGCTACCACCCGTGATTACTCCTTTTTGACTATTACATGTTTATGGCTACCACCCGTGATTACCCCTATTTGACTATTAAATGTTTATGGCTACACACCGGTGATTACTCCTATTTGACTATTATATGTTGAAGGCTACCACCCGTGATTACTCCTATTTGACTATTACATGTTGAAGGCTACCCCCGTGATTATTCCTATTTGACTATTACATGTTGAAGGCTACCCCCGTGATTCCCTAAAGTTTACCTCTGGACTAATGTAGATCTCTTACAACGATTAGCAATATTACATAAGTATCCCCCTTAATCTAGAAAATACATAAATATGATTTTCTTGAACAACCCAAAAAAAAATTTAAGCAAAAAAAAAAAAAAAAATATAATATACCACAAATGAACCACAAAAGAATTAAAAGGATAAAAAAAACAAAACATAAACAAAGCAAATATTATGTCAAACAAGGAAGTTTGACGTATAAATCAAGAAACATGCCCATGCAGATCGAAAAAATGTGTTTTAAAATTTGTTTGTCCTTCCGGAAATCTCTTAAGCGCTGAAAAAAAAAGATTTCACACAAGATGATATGGTATCATCACCAATTCCAAGTAATACATTTGAAAATAAAAAAATAACACACAGAAGAGGGCACACATGATGATAAAGTTGTTGACCCGAAAAAAGAGCTAAAGAATGAATGAATACCCAAACCGTAACTACACTCCTATTTATCTCTCCCCCCAGGTGGCCAACTTATGAAATATTTCTTTTGTCAAAAGATCCCTTGCTGTTCCTTAACCTTATTGCCATGCCTGACCGATTCCTTTTCTATACCCCTATAGTTTCCTAATCTCTCAGTGTCTCCTTCCCTGCGGACATGCAACATGTCTCCTTTGTATACTACCATCTGTTTCTAATTACTTACATAAACACCACACTGATGTTAATTAAAAATTGTTAAAGATTACAGATTAAAGGCTACAACCCGTGATTTCCCCTATTTGACGATTACATGTTGAAGGCTACCCCCGTGATTCCGTGATGTTTACTTCCGGACTAATGTAGGTCTCTTACAACGATTAGCAATTACAATTACAATGTGTTTAAGATCTTAAATTACCTTTCGATCTTAATTTAAGATTAGAATCAGAACAGAAGAAAAGACCCATTAATCCCTATTTCTAAATAAAATTTCTGTTCCACCCTAGGCTAGTACATGGGAGAATAAAACCCTCCCTTCCCCGAAACCCAATTATTTTCCATAATATTAAATCACCAAATCTTCCCTATCACTTTCTAGAAAACTCTATAAATCCCCACAAAACAAGGCTTCAATTTCTAGTCAATATTTTTGTGATGTTCAATTTGCACGACTCGATCAACTTTGTCATATTAGAAGAAAATCTCTGAAATGGTTTAAGTTTTTTAACAGCTTTTCTCTTAAAATCCCCCTCTCTGTTTCTCAACATGCAAGACATATTCGATTGCGTATACGGTACGGCTAAGAACCTTAGCAATTTCTGCATTTCATGAGCAGTGTCATTTCGTAGTTTTTCATACTGAATCACGTGCAATGGCCCTTTGAATTCCAACCAATCCAAGTAAAACATATACCATGCTATGGCTCTTTGGCGAGTAAACGTTGGCCAATCTGGAAAAGACAAATTTTGATGATTATTGGAACAATAAGAAATCATCTAACACTTAAAAGTTTTTTCTCAGATATTTGGTGACATGCCCATAATACCTAGTATCATTTCAATGAAATGAAATCATGCTGTTGGGATCCTAACACATATTTCGAAAGACCTGTAAAAATCTCATGTAATCAGTTCCAAACTATATTGTCTTCAATTAAGATTACAATCCGGTTTCCCCCAGTCAGTGATGCAGGGAAGGGGCTGACATGGAAAAAAGCATCTAGTCGTTCGAATGGGCCAAGAAACCCGTGTGTTACAGGCAGTGCACGCTAAAGATCCCCCGACAGTTGGAAATCGAATAACAGGCTAATGTCGCTGTCCTGTCCAAATTTCCCTCACTGTACCCTACCTACATGGCGTCTTCATTAGCCCACATGGTGCAGAAAAGTAGGACGTACAACTTAATTCATTTTATTTTAAGATTATGTTATCACAGCTACTTACTTTTTCTATAGGCGGAATATGGAGCGTGACTTAAATGCCCCCTGCCTTTAACGTTAAAATTTGATCTTATAGCATCCAATGGATCTCTGATCAAAACAACAGCTTTCTGATATTTCTTTCTTTCTTTCAACCCCAGTTTATGAGTTTTGATCACGATTACTGTGTCGTCACGATAGCCTTCTCCCGGGAAGCCATGATTGTAAATGGAAGAATCGTTAAAAATGCTGCCTGTAGCTATTCCTGAAAGATAGTAAATTCTAACCAAAGTTGGAACAGAACTGACAAGTCTGTGTTAATTTCATAAATTCAGATGTGAGAACTGTGCCATATCAAGTTGTCTGAACTTCAGAAAAATCAAAGTCCCAGTTTGTTCCATTTTTTTTTTCGTATTTTACACACCTTCCTGAGCATAGACTGCATTAGCTGCAGCAACATTTCAACTTCTGTAGACCATCTGTAGTGGCAACGTTGCTAATGAATATGTTTTCGAAAATTTTTGCAAATCCGGAAGTGCGACAGTTCAACATGTGCAAAAAGTCGAAAATCGGCTCTAGAAGGCGTATTTTTGCATCGATTCTCTTCGGGTTTTTCATTTTTCTACATGTAATTTCTGACCTGATAGCACTTGAAAAATTACGAAATTCGAAAATTCTTCGCTCACTTTTTTCGATCAAATTTTTCGATTTTTTTGCAACTTTTTTGCTTTTACATCGATTGATCTGAAATTTTAAATGCAAAGAGACTTCACTAATGTTAATAATATGATACAGTCAAATTTTGTTCGTCATTTCCGATTTTAAACAGGAAAGCGTCTGAACTTCATCACTACTTCCGGTTGAATAACTTCCGGTGTAATTTATGTAGGTCAACAAAATTTAGCTGATCTTTGGCAAATAAAATTTCATGGCCGATTTTAAAATAAAATCCAGACCGGGAGTGATACTTTGGCCGCCATATTGAAAAAACACACTTTTGTAAAACTCAAAATGGGGCCTCATGGTAAAGATTGATATGCTCAAATTTGATGTGAATGTATTCTGCAATCGATTGCGCAAAAAACATTGGGAGCATTGAATTTCGCTTTTGCTTTTTTGCAACTTCCGGTTAAATCTTTTTCCAACTTGAAACAACCACACCATATGACCTTGACCTTTGATAACCTTGACCTTCATAGGGTCAAAGGTCATTGACCTTGGCTATCATTTGATATTTTGACCTTTGACCTCCGACATGTACTTCCGGTTTTATAGCTATCCGTAAAAAGCCAAATTCGCAACTTTGGACTGCAGTAGCTCGTGACCTAATTAACCTAGAGGGTTAATTTTTTCGGTTTCCTAATGTGCTTCTCATGCACTTTACTTAGATATATAACAATCGTTCAAATTTTTTTTTTTACAATATTTGCGTCTTTTAGAGCTTGGTGTATGTATATCTTATGATCTATTTGATGGAGAACCTTGATATTTGGAATACAACTAAACACTTTGAATATGAATTCACCTATGACAAAAAAACTTATGTGGGCGTGGCACATCCGGGTTGAATTACTAATTGTTTACATTTAGAGGCAGGGGCATAACTCGCATAGGGTGCGTTTGTTCAAAAAGGGCCTTTGCACACAATTACCTCATCCTTTTGGCCAGTTTGTGTTAACAGTTCAGTTGTTTCAGCTTTATAGTTCCAAAAAAGGAACGGGTTTTTTACATTTGGATATTTTCATTTTTCGATTTTGACCTTTGTTGACTTTTGTTGACCTATATCTTTTGACCTGTATTATGTAGGAGCTTGACATTTGGAACATAACGTAACATTTTGAATTGATACCTATTACTCATTATTGACATTTTTGGTCAGGGGCATAACTCGCAAAGTATACATTTGTTCAAAATTGAACTTTGCATACAAATACCTCATATTTTGAGCCACTTTGTCTTAGAATTTCGGTTGTTTCAACTTCATAATTCAACAAAAGGAACAGGTTTTAGAAATTCGATCTAGGGAAAATGAAGACACCATGTTATTCAAGTACTGTACAAGTTAAAGGGTCTTCAACAGTTGAAATTTTGAATAAGTACACTTCATGGCGTTTGGAAATTTAATTCTTTTAATATTTTGTAAAAAGAAGGGATGTATAAGCTTACCAGTAACTTGCTGTATCATGTGACGTAACCATGTATTGCCCGACCCAGGAAAACTGGCTAAAGCTGTCTTCGGCAAATTGTGAGACCTGTGTATACGTCGGCAGCCCGAATCTATTCTTTTGTTGGACTTCTGAAACGATAGAATATTGCCTTTCCATGGAAAAGGTGTCTGATTTACATAGTATAGAACACTTATATAAAATAAAACAACTATAAATATAACACAAGATATAATCCTAAACGTTTTCGACGCCATGTCTAACGAATGTTATATTACCACACTTTTTGAATCTGATAATAAAAATTAATCTTCCACAAACAGGTTATTTATTTATAGGGACAGTATAGTATAATTACATGTATATAATATAGAATATGAGATAGCTTGCCAGGCAAGGTAGGCAAGGTAACATACGTCGACTGACAGCTGTCTGAAATGATTTTCAAAATGTATTGCATTTGTAGTTCATTAATATATAAGATTTGAATTCATTGATATATATATACTGTTAGTTATTTATACTAAGTTTTTCCACAATATTTCTTAAAATCAATACCAATAATCCAAATACATGTACATCAAATTATTAAACAAATTTTGACGCATTTGACTAAGTCAAGAGCAATAACTCAATGATTGAAGGTTGGCAGTTCTAGATGCGACAAAAAAGGAGTTAGACGATCTTAAAAGACATTATATGCATTTAAAAGTAATCAGGATGATCTTATATGGTATACGATACACTGGTAGCAAGTGTAGAGAAAATAATAATGGTGTGACGTGATCGTAACGTCGAGCTGCAGAATTTTGTACTAGTTGTAGTTTATTTGTCAGACGATGTGGAAGTGCTGCTAGAAGATAGTTCATGTTATCCAGTCGGGAGGTTACTGAGAGCATCGTTGTACATATATTTTGAGATGATTCTGATATTATGGAGTTGATAATGTCAGTTTTAGCATGTATTGTTGATTTGGAACTCAATGTTTAGTCTCTTATCAAATATTACACAAATATTTCTGGCAGATTAACTCGACTGTATTTGGAAGTTTCCAAATGAAACGAACAGATCACCGGACCCATAAGCAGGCACATTATTTTTAATAAAATCGCTTTTTTGGCCTAATTTGAAATTGACCTTGGCCTAATTGCAAAACCTTGTGTTCCCACCATCTCAAAAGTACTACCGAATGAATTGGCATCTCCAATTTAGTTGGAAATGACACATTAAACGTTTTTCTGGACTATTTGGTTGCGGACTAGCGGCCATTTTGAATTTTTTTTTTTAAACAATATTTATTCAAGAATTACAAATATTACATACATATATATAAACATATGGTTTTGGAAACAAGCTTTAAAAGCTTATATAAATCCATTACCATTCAAAATAAATACAATACGATACAATTAGAGAAAAATTTACTAACTACTTACAATAATTGAAGTTCTCTCAACTGTATCAAGGTTGTAAAACAGCAGATAGGGTTCAGTAAATTTATTTGTATGGATGAAATAAAATATATTTGTTGGAGGTTTTGCTCATCGAGGTTTCAACAATCGGCATGGCCCCACAGCGACCCTGGTCGATCGAGGCTAATATAGGAAATGGAATATCTAACGAAGATAAACAGGTGAAGGTAAGGGCTATATCAACAGTTTGGCATGAGTAAGTGATGAGTAGAATAAAATACTAGGTAAGACTCGATAGAACGAACCATAGGTAAGACTCAAAAGAACTAGCACAAATTAGGTAAGTATCAATAGAACGAGCAATAAATCAGGTAAGCCTCAATCGAACGAACCATAGATATATATATAGACACAGCTTTATGGAACAACAATCACTGGTTAAAGTTTTATGCAACGTTTCGACGTGTTTCCCCCGTCGTCCTCAGGCAC